ATTTACTTTCTATTGAGCCCTTGGTGTCAGCTCCTCATTTCCCCCCTCCCTTCCTCCCCCACTCTCATGACCCCTTGATAACTTATAAATTATTATTGTTTTCATACCTCAACACCGACTGCCGTCTCCTTCCCCCACGGTTTCTGCTGTTTGTCCCCCTAGAGGGGGTGGTGTGTGGTTATGTGTCGATCATCATGATCGGCTCCCCCTTTTTTTATCAGGAGGGGCCAGTCCCCCCCTCCCACCCGAGAAGGACAGGATGCTTGGTAAATTGGATGGGGCAGTGGTTTTTTAAAAACACACTGCTACCGTTTCTTTGTAAACACTTTGAGTTTGCATGTCATGTTCCTTTTTGGTAATTAGACATTGCAACAGGAAAACTTGGCACAAGCACGGCTTAAGATAAAAAAACAACAAAACGATTTTCATGGGGAAAGTGTTTTGGGGTGCAGGTCCTCTGAATTCCCACCCTGTTTCTCTCGTGAAGCGCAAGGTGTGAGACAAACCAGGGGGTGCTGCTTGGCGCAGCCCGCCCTCCGGAATGTTTACTGAGAGCTCTTAGCTCAAGGGGGGAAGGGGGAACCCCCCTGAAGAAATGTGGGTAAATGGAGACAACAGACAACAGTGTAAGATATGAGGTAATAATAACAACTTATAATTAATCAAGGATTCACAGGGTGGGGGGGATGAGGTTATACCAAGGGCTCAAGTAGAAACTTTTGGAAATGATGATGACAACCTATGTACAAATATGCTTGATACATTTGATGTGTGAAATGTTGTAAGAGCCCCCAATAAAATGATTAAAAAGTGGCTGCTGTCGGGTCAGTTTGAACTCCCAGGAAGCCCCTGTGTAGCCGAAGGAAACCCTGCCCGGGCCCGTGCCTCACACCTGTTGTGCGTGGGCCCATTGTGGTAGCCACAGTGTTGGTCCCTCTTGTCCAGGGTTCAAAGGGTGTTCCTGCCTCGCTGCCCCTCCACTTTACCTAGCAGGACGCTCTTCTCTAGGGACTGGCCTCTCCGGACCAAAGCCCAAAAGGAACTCACTGCCCGGAGTCCGTGCTGACTCACTCACGGCGACCCCCTGTGGGGGGGCGAGACTCACTGGTGACGGGAGTAGAAAGCCCAGTTTTTCTCCCACGGAGCTGCTGGTGGTTTCGAACTGCCGACCTTGCGGATCGCAGCCTGAAGCGTAACCAGGCTCCTTTGGTCTCTCCTGTCGACATGCCTGAAGTACGGGAAGCAGTCTCACTACCCTTGCTTGTCCTTTTGGCAGTCACGGCACTTGCGGTGTGCTTCCGCAGCACCGACGCTTAAATGCATCATTCTGCTTCCTGTCTTTCCTTATTCAGTGTCCAAACTTTGACACGCCCGAGGCGACTGAGAAGGCCGTGGCTCGGGGTCTGTCTTCAAAGTGGCGTCCTTGCTCGGAGGCCCGGTGCAGCAGACCCACCCACCCACCCAGGACAGTGCGTCCTGCCATCTCCCTGCTGCTCTTCCCTGCGCCCTGCCTGTGGGTGTGAGCAAGGCAGACCCTTGACGGCATCAGTCTCTTCTCTGCTTCTCATGAATGCTATTATTTATCAGCATTTTGGGAGCCCTAATGGCACCCGTGGGAGCTCAGCTGCTAAACGAGGGGTGGTAGTGGGACCCCGCCCTGGGGAGGAAGGCCTGACCCTGGGCTCTGCAAACACTGCAGCCTGATCTCAAGCAGGCAGTCCTCCGCCTTTGGGTACAGTTCCCGAGCGCCTAACGTTGCCTGGGTGGCGCCCGGAAGAGCAGCGGCAGCGGTCTGACCTTACAAAACCTGACCCCCTCCGGTGCCTTCTCCCTGGGCCCTCCCCTGTTCTCAGCAGGACTCCGTGCCCTCTCTGCCAGGGTCCTCCTTGCTGTTGGCCCTGGATTCCGTCAGACCCCTCTCAGCCGGGCACAGGCTGCAGGAGGAAACTGCCGGTCCTGCCCCCTCCTGAGAGTTGTCGCTATACCTGAGCCCATCGATGCGCCACCTGGCCAGTCCACCTCGCTGGGGGGCCTTCCTCCCCCCTGGGTCCCGAGAGGTGTTGTTAGGGGGCAACCGCTCTTTTTGGAATCAGTTTAGGATGCCTGGCTTTGTCTGTGGAAATGCCACTTTGTCAGTGGCAGTGCCAACGGGGGAGTCGTGCCAAGTTGTGCTGAGATATTTGCTTTCCTTCTTGGCAGGGCTCTGCCTCTCCCCAAGGGGCCACCGACTGAGGGGCTCGCTGTTAGAGGACGGAGGGGTGAAGCGGGGCGTGGAAATGCCAGTCACAATGAGCAGGAGGTCCAGGCCCTGCGCCAGAAGTTGATGTGAAAAGAAATAACTCCCTCCCCGGGGGCAGGTGCGTGTGGTTGGGGGAAGTTGGTGAATTCTGGGATCCTGGGAGCCGGCTCTGTGGTGAGGGATTGCACCCCCATGATGGCCGGTCTGAGGGGGTCCTCTGTGGAACTTGTGCAGGTTTGTCAGAAACCTCTTCCCTCCAGATGTCCAGCTCTGGCTCCGAAAGGGTGCAGTCATTTACATATGTTCCCATTAGCACAAGTGACTGACAGGCTCGCAAGCTGTGGATGTTCATGGATTCCTGATCACTGAAGGAGGGAGCGAATGTGCTTGGGCCTGTGGTAGGGCCCTTGGCTGAGAAGCAGACAGGGCTTTGCTGAGGCACGTAGGGCAGGGCAGGGCTCCTGGCCGGCCCCAGTCTGTCCTTGTCGCTGGAGCTCACTTCTCCGCTGGTTGGGTTTTGTGGTTCCATAAGGAGCCCCAGTGGCACTGAGGGTTAAGCACTGCTCTGGGGATTAAGGGGTCTGCGGCTGGAAAGAGAGTGGCGCGGCAGCCTTAGCGCGGCACCAGGCCTTCTGTTCTGCCTTACCCTGACCGACATCTCCCTTCACCCACTTTTCTGTTGTCC